CACATATGACACTGATATTCTAGTAGTTTCGAAAATGATAGTAGTTGATAAAAAAATACAACAATAACGATCAGAACCATGAAAACGATATCCTCAAAAACGTAAACACGCCAAACCTTTCTCCCTCCACAAATATACTCATTAATTAAAGCCAGCTGGTAATCTATTGTGGTCGTTGGAATTTATGATCAGGTGATCGATCGAGTAACACATGCTTTAAATGGCAGTTTTTGATAAAATTGTACCGCAGGAGATTAGTGCCAACAAAAAAAAATCCCACCAGCGTAAATTCCTGCCATATTTGTCCTCCGTGAATTGCATTATATAATTCGGGGACACTAATATACAGTTTGGAGCCAATGCAAAAATTGTATCAAAACCATCACCACAATCGCCAAAACATTCTTATTGTCGCCTGTTCTCACATAGTATCCTCCATTGCTGTGTAAACAGCTAGTGTAACCAGCAACCGAAATCAACAAACAAGTCAAGCAAAGGCACAGAATTAACTTTTTTTTGACAGAGGTAAACAGAATTAACCTTTGCCATGCCTTTAGATCTGAATTCAGCGCCAATTGAAGAAGATGAAGAAGCTGAAATACCTGATCTAAACCAAACTTCTCCTGCAAAAGCTGGAGAAGATGCCTCTGTCTCTGAATTTGGGGAAGGCCAAATCCATGTTGTCCAAGATCAAGAACATAATGCAGCCTTGAATGAAGACCAAGCACCTTTTGATCTCAACATGAATGCAGGTAATAACTTTCATTTCGCCATTGATGAAGTATGATCTTGGTGCAATTGTTTAGTGTTTATTCCTCCTTTAATTTGTCATCCTCCATGTAGAACATGATGAAGCTGCCTACCACGATGAACAAGCCCCTTTTGATGTAAACATGAAGGCTGTTTGTACGTAAATTTCATTTGGGTTATATGTAAATTTAAATATTTCTGCACTTGATTAAGCTCGTACCTCACCATTCACCTCTATCCCCTGTACTGTATTTGTGGATGGAGGAAGTAGATCTCATTACCCTTATTTTTCTTTCTTTTGTTGAACCTTTGATAGTAATCCTAGGAATTATTGTTAGGAAGCGCCTTTTAATCTTTTTTGTGGTGCAGCTTCACTTACCAAAGTCTGAATCCTATAAATTATCCAGTCCTGGTCCATTGAAATAAGGCCTTAGATTTTGACTTCAAATAAGGATCCTACGTATTGAGTTTTAATGTTCGTAAGTGATACAACTAGACTTTTTTTTCCTAAAGTTGTTTCACAGAACTATATTACATATTGTTGGTATGTTTGAGTACCAATTAAAATCTAGAATGGCAGACTCCAGGAGTCCAGGTGACCTAAAAAGTCACTTGTTTTGTGAGCGGATGGAGTAAATCATTTTTGTGCTTGCACGGAGTACTTATCAGTGGAAATGCCGTTTATGCAAGGAGTGCTAGTATTTCCGTTTACAAATCGGATACTTGTGTATCTTCCTGGTCTCGCAAAAGAACCCTAGCAAATATAATTCCATTGCAACCCACGGAAACAGACCATCGAAATTTTATGTTATTATTACGCAGAGATTCATCCAAAAAATACTCAGTAATCTTGAGACGACGGTCAATCAAATCAAATCAAACGACAGATAAATGCCCATGTATCTCCCCCACTTGATTCACCAGATACAACCAGATCACACGTGAATGAATCCTAATCCCGCCTTTAATCACCACCATCAGCATCACGACGCGGTCAAAGCCCCAACGGACCCCCTCCTCCACTCCGGGACCGTTGATCCGGTCCACGTGGCGGACCGCGCACGAGCGCGCCGTCGATTCGGTCATCCGAACTGTTTCGTATCTAACCGCAGCTCTGCTCAGGCAGCACAGCTTGCTCTCGAGTCTCGATGAACTAAGCTAACTCGACATCCTCTGGTGATTTTGTTTTCAGCTGGGCTGGAAAAAAAAAAGAAAAGAAAAGAAAAAACTGCCGCTTTTTTATTATGAAGATGAAGATATTTTGGTTTATGTTTTGTTTTGGACCTTCGCCTTGTTCGTTTGGTTTTTTTTTTTGCTGATAAGCCATGGTTAAAAGTACTATTGACTGATTTGATGTGAAAGAAAAATACTATTCGTTGGTGAAAAAATACGGCTTATAAGCCAAACAAGCTCAAACAAGGACGCTTGTTTGTCGGGTAGGCACTTTGGTTCAGAAAATAAGGTCTAGAACGTAATGATTTCATCCGTGAGGGACCCTAATAACTAGTACCTACTCCCTATGTCCCGTTTTGTGTGTCGCTGTGGTAGCTGGTGCTTGTGTCTACGTTCACAGCTTGTGCAGTGTAACTAGACTCTCTCTCCGTCCCCATTCATTTCATCTCTGTTGTAACTTGCCAGAAGCCAAACCGAGTCGGATAAAGGGACAGAGGTAGTAGTAGTTTTGAGACCGGACCATTCCAACACGACGTGCTAGCGCCGGCACATACCACATACCGTGCCCTTTGACTTGCTACGAAGCCAAACCCAAAGTGCACTAACACCTTTCGGAACAAAAAAAAATCGCCCTTTTTGAACTAAAAAAACTTTCTGAATCCCAAAAGTAACATCCTGTTTTTCTTTATCTTATAAAAAACAGAGCAATCTAATAACACTGCCCAAACCACTCAAGAAAACACAAAGTGCTTCCTTTTTGTGAGAGAAAAAAAATACACAAAAGTGCTTCTGGTCGCTAGAAAATGGCGCACCCGATGCTATTTGCGCCCTACTTGATTGATGTGCGACTGTGCGAGGATTGGACAGGTCTTGCTGGTTCTGAAGGAAGCCAGGCAAGCACTAGTACCCACTAGCAATCCTGTACGAGGCAGGCGTTACCCGGCGCTGACGCAAATGGGTCGGCGGAGGAGGAGGAAGAAAGGCGACGGCGACGGAGAGCGATGGGTACGTGCGTGCTCGCTCGGTGGCCGCGCGGGTGGCGTCAACGTCGGCATCATTTGGGCCACCGCTTCCCTTATCCCACCCCCCACCCCACCGAGACGGCTTTGGGTGAACTGGACGGGACGGCAGCCGACGGGCACCCGCCGATGAAGACGCGTCCCGGTGTTGTATTGCTCTTGCTCGGGCACGCCAGGGTCGCTTTGATCCAATCCAATGGGCAGCGTCACGGGGTACGAGCGAGGCGAGGTGAGGTTCAGCGGCTGACACGACGGTGTTGGACTTGCTCGGATGATTGATCCATGAACAACGTTACGTCTCAGTTGCTCTGCCTGTAGGATTGCTGCCCCGGCTTTGGTTTTGATGATCGACCCGTGGTTCTAGAAAATGTGGTGCCAAAGAATCCTTTCGCTTTCGCCGTGTTCGTTTAATACCCGTGGTGCAAATAGGCTCCTTTAGGATACAAGAACTTTACAGAAATTAAGAATCGTATAGGGATTTTACAGAAATCATTTTATTTTAGAAAAAAACACATAAAATAGAAAAAAAATAGTATTCCAAACGGACCAAAGGAGGACAAGCGGAGCACCCCGCAATTTTGCAGGAACATCATAGCTATTTTTTTATTAAAAAAATAGTGGTAATAGGATCCGATTTAGATATCATTAGATGTTAATAGTTATTAGCTAACTAATAGCTCATAGATAAAACTAGCTATGTTGTTGGCGTTTATTATTTCGATTTGTCGTAGGAACCAATTATCGCCATCACCATCATTATATACCATAATAGCAGAAAAGGCGAGGGCTTTGATAGCTAATTTCGATTTGTCGGTACCATCTCTGTTTTCTGTAAGGAAGCACGCCCCTCTCTCAGCCCATGGGAATTGGTCTGGCCTTGACAACCTAAGCCCAAAAACTTCCAGATCAGGTCATCAGGCCACTGCAAAACTTCATGGGCCTCAAATATACCGCTGAAACTTCAGAGAGTCGAGACAGACCTTCCACGGACGGTCTGCACGCTGCGCATCCAGCCGGTATTACAGAGACTGCAAACAGCACCAATATCAAAGATACCACTTCACGGTTCACATTGCGCATTGCATCACAATTCACATCCCAGACAGAAGGTTAAGACACCGCACCGACCATAGTTAACAAACAAACACCAACATTCTGATGATGCTAGGATATACTGATGATCCAGCCTTAAATGCCGAGGGCAAAACCACTTGTTAATTCCCTGTAATACTCTATGCTAATGATAAGCCCCTAAATACTCAGTAATCTTGAGACGACGGTCAATCAAATCAAATCAAATCAAACGACAGATAAATGCCCATATGTCTCCCCCACTTGATTCACCAGATACAACCAGATCACAACGGACCCCCTCCTCCACTCCGGGACCGTTGATCCGGTCCACGTGGCGGACCGCGCACGAGCGCGCCGTCGTATCTAACCGCAGCTCTGCTCAGGCAGCACAGCGCTTGCTTGACCCGCGCGCGCGCGCGTGCCTGCAGTTGTCTCGCCGAGTCGTGCGGTTCGGTGGCTGCCCCCGTTTCGATACTTGGCACTACTCTACTAGTCTACTCCCAGTGCCCGCACGTAAACAGAGCAGTTGTCCTCGGCAACTTGCCCGTTGCCTGCTCGTCGTTGCCTCATATAAACAGAACAGTTGTCCTCGGCAACTTGCCCGTTGCCTGCTCGTCGTTGCCTTATATAACCCGTTGCCTGCTCGTCGTTGCCTTATATAAACAGAGCAGTTGTAAACAGAGCAGTTGTCCTCGGCAACTTGCCCGTTGCCTGCTCGTCGTTGCCTTATATAACCCGTTGCCTGCTCGTCGTTGCCTTATATAAACAGAGCAGTTGTCCTCGGCAACTTGCCCGTTGCCTGCTCGTCGTTGCCTTGGCCAGAGTTCAGAGTTCAGACATCAGGCAGAGCAGGCAGAGGAGAGAAATTCTCGGCCTTTTCCAAGCAGAAGAAGAGGAGGGCTGTGGGCTTTCTGATCGCTGTTCTGAGGGATGACGGCGTGCGGTGGTGGTGCAAGGATGACGGCTGCTGCGATGGCAGAGAAGATGGCTGCGCCATGGGTTCTTGCTTGCAGCTTGCTGCTGCTCTGCTTGGCGGCCTTTCAGGGTGAGTGCTCAGTCCGACGGTTCAGTTCACCTGCACTTTCTTCCGTTCATTTTTCTTCCGTCTTCTTCATGTGACTATGTGAGCAGTTCACCTATCACCTATGCGTTCTTCTGCCCGTGGCGTTCCTCTTGCCCGTTCGGCGCTGTGCGTTAGTCCGCCAATTAACACTTGGGCTGCAGTTTCGTTTCGTTTCGTTTGATTAATTAGTCCAGTTTATATGATGCATGTATGTAAATGATACATGCTATGTCGCCCGCGCTCTTCCTTCTGTTTTCTTCAGTTCATGTCGAGCTCTTTCAGTAGCCTGTTGTCTAGCTAAAATTTATTCAAGATCTGTTCTTGATACTTTCCCTTTCTTCCCACTGCAATCTTGCTGGCCTTGCATCCCAATTCTCAAATGGTCAGGTACTCAGGTTGGTGGTGTTTCTTAGATCAGTTTTGAAGTTGCACCTGCATTAGGATAAAGTTTTCCGTAATGGGGATACCTTAGGATAAAGAGGGCGCCAAATGGTGGCCGTGGCTCGGATAAATTTATTGCCTCCTGGTGGAGCCGTAGAGGTGGTTGACAGGTTAATCCTTTGTGTTCTTGGTTGGGTCTCTCCGGAAATTATAATCAAACAGGTTTATCTTTTCTTTTTATTTGTTCATATTTTTTTAAGCAACAAAAGATTTTTTTAACACTTCATCTAGTAGCAGGACAAGGACAAGCATTGGAAATGAACTCATATTTGTTACGGTCCACGATATATGTTATTTGATTTGATGCAGTCAAATTACTGTATCTAATTACTGACCAACTCCTAGTTTGCTATTGCCTCTAGACTAGATCAATCCTGTCCTTTTCACTAGAACGGCACGTCGGCCAGTACAGAGTGTGAAAAGTTGGGCCAAGCCTACCAAAGATGTCGATAAAAACATATTTTTATCATTGGTTATTAGATGTTAGTACATCTCACCCGATTTATAGTAGCAGTAATCTGCCCAGCACACTTTTGCGTGACGAAATAGAAAGGCAGAGCCCTTTTAAGACGGGCTTTTATGTCTCCCGTCAGATGTCGATATCATCTGAATTTGTAGGAAAAAAATGCAGCAGAGACGAATATGTCATATATATATATATGCACAATTCTTTTTTTTTACTGGAATTTCCCTTGCATAGACTTGCACAATGCATCAGACAAAAAAAATGAATCTCTCTTTCTAAAAAAAAAAGAAAAGAATCCATCCTACCGGAATGGAAAACAAGAGGCGAGAGGATTATTTTCTTTGTATAAACTGTTTGGCCCATGCACCATTGGGCAAATTTTCTTATGTGTTCTCACTATAATCCTATGAATCTAGACTAATTAGGGCATCTTAGTAGCTGGACTCTTGGACATGCTATGAGCCTAACTATATGAGACTTTTTGGCCTTAGAATCCATCCTCTAAGCTGCGCAGTCTAGTAAAATTAATTTGAGATTTATTTTAACATCTGAACTGAAAGTGATGTGTTTGGACCCTTGACACCAAGGTGTATTTTCTTCGTTTCACAAGCATATCTTTGACTATTGTTTGGACCTTGGCACCAAGTTCAAAAGGTGTATCCATTGCTTATTTTACATCAAGAAGTACTATGAACGACGGTGTTGGTCTTGGTTATTGCAAATCCTATGTAGAAAAACGTAACAAGACGTGGAGTTGTGAACGGAATTACTACTTGGAAATTTGGTAGCTGCAGTTCGTCCCCTGTAGATTTGTTGGCTGCTCCAACTACTCCCTTCACTGCTCTGAAATAAGCCACAACCTGCTACGTTTTTCTTCACCATTTCATAATGGCAACAGCTCTCAGTTTGAAAATTTTGCGCGAACTGAAGACTACTCGTTACTTGTGTTGAAGATCAAATTCACTTTTTTTTTGTTTTGTTTTGATTGATAACCCAATCTAATCCTGAGCTATCAAACTAATAATGCAGGAGCTGAGGGTGCGATTGGCGTGAACTACGGCATGATCGCCAACAACCTGCCGGCGCCGGAGCAGGTCATCTCCATGTACAAGGCTAAGAACATCAACTACGTGCGTCTCTTCCACCCGGACACGTCCGTGCTGAACGCGCTCCGCGGCTCCGGCATCGGCGTGGTCCAGGGCACGCTGAACGAGGACCTCCCGCGCCTGGCGTCCGACCCGTCCTTCGCCGCGTCGTGGGTGGCCACCAACGTGCAGCCCTTCGCGGGCGCCGTCCAGTTCCGGTACATCAACGCCGGCAACGAGGTCATCCCGGGGGACACCGCGGCGCAGGTGCTCCCGGCCATGCAGAACCTGGAGTCGGCGCTCCGGTCCGCGGGGGTCACGGGCGTGCCTGTCACGACGGCCGTGGCCACGAGCGTGCTGGGCACGTCGTACCCGCCGTCCCAGGGCGCCTTCTCCGAGGCGGCCGCGCCGGTGATGGCGCCCATCGTGTCGTACCTGTCGTCCAGGGGCGCGCCGCTGCTGGTGAACGTGTACCCGTACTTCGCCTACTCGGGCAGCGGCGGGCAGGTGGCGCTCGGGTACGCGCTGCTGTCGGCAGACGCGGGCGGCGCGGCGTCGTCGGTGACGGACGGCGGGGTGGTGTACACCAACATGTTCGACGCGATCGTGGACGCGACGCACGCGGCGGTGGAGAAGGCCGGGGTGCAGGGGCTGGAGCTGGTGGTGTCGGAGACCGGGTGGCCGTCGGGCGGCGGCGGCGACGGCGCCACCGTGGAGAACGCGGCGGCGTACAACAACAACGTGGTGCGGCACGTCGGCGGCGGCACCCCGCGGCGGCCCGGGAAGGACGTGGAGACGTACCTGTTCGCCATGTTCAACGAGAACGGCAAGGCCGAGGGCGTGGAGCAGCACTTTGGCCTCTTCCAGCCGGACATGAGCGAGGTCTACCACGTCGAATTCACGGCGGGTTCTTCCGAGGCTTCTGGAGTAGCACTAGTCTGTCCGCGTGTACAGTGCATGTCGGTACACCGCGTTACACCCCGCCCCATGGATTTGTTTAGCACATTACTGTCGTCATTACTCATTACTGATGCATTTGTTCAGTAGATACAGATATACAGTAGTACTCCTTCAGTATGCCATGCGTCCCTACTTGACCACTTCGACTTGTGTTCTGCTGCCTTTTTTTGTGTTCTTCATGGAGCAGCATCTTTTTTTTTTATAATGATTCCACCAGGGCGTCTGTGCGGCCGGACGCGTCTCCCTACTCGCTACGCTCGCTCCCTCTTGTCCGCCTCCACCGCACAGCCCGCTCCCACCGCGCTGCCCCGCGCGCCCGCCTCCACCAGCTGGTGGCGACCGCGAGTCGGCGACCGCGCTCCTCCGCGCCACCCACCCGTCTTCTCCACATCCCCGCTCCCTCCCTGGCCGCCGCCGGCGTCCTCCTCTCCCCACCCCGGCGGCGCCCTCACCCACCCCGGCGCGCGCCCTCCCCACTCCGGCGTCCTCCTCTCCCCACACCAGCGTCTCCTTCCTTACCCCGCCGTCCTCCTCCCCCACCTCGCGTGGCTCCTTCCCCCATCCGGCGTCCTCCTTCCCCCACACCGGGGCCCCCTCCCCCGACACTGGCGTCCTTCCCACAGGGAGCTCCCAACGCCCTTAGATCCGGCGACCATGGCACTCCCCGCACCAGGCTCTCTCTTCCCCTGTGTTGCAATTGTATCTTTCAATTGTTTCAGGCGTTTCAGAGGTATGTTGCATTTGAATCATATGGATGTTGCAAAAGTAGATAGGGATGTTGCACATGTTGCATTTGTTTTCAAAGGCATGTTGCAATAGTATGTTTCGATTGTTTCAGATGTTTCAAAGGTATGTTTCATCCGTGTTTTTGGACGCATGTTGTAATTGTGTTTATCTGGATGTTGCATATGTTTCACACATATGTTGCACGTGTTTTATTCGGATGTTGCATATGGTTGCAATGGTTTTCAAGTGTGTTTCAGGTGTGTTTTTCAAATATTTCAGAAGCATGTTTTAAGTGTTTCAACTACCTTCAGACGTATGTTGCAATCGTTTTTTTTATGTTTAAAAAATAGATCGGGTGTTGTATCTCTCCTCCTCCCACCTTATGCTGCATCGTCTCTCCCGGAGCCGGTAGGGCATCCATATGAACGAGGGATGGGTGATGGGCGCGGGACGAGGAAGCTCTTTACGGACGGACGTTGCCTCCGGAGTGGCATGGGCGCTGGGGTGGAGAGGGCTGCATACGTCGCGGTTGGGAGCAAGAGGCGCAGCGTGTGGTGACGTAGGGCACAGCGAGCGCGCTCTCCTGTTGCACGGACGTGATTCGATTTTACGTGAGGGGGGCGTGGCAGGTGCGTCGATACGCAGGCCTAGGGCCTGACTTCCGGGCACTAGGGTTGCCTTTTTTTTAGCAATCATGGAGCAGCATGTGAAACTGTTCGCTGGCCTATTGGGCTCAATAACGTTTGAGCGAAAGGGAACCGTGGCCCAGCCTACTGGCCCATTGGGCTCAGCGGTCGCATAGAGCCCGCCACGTACCCACTTCGCTCGGTACGTGTCGATCCGGTCCATGACTTCAGTAGAACATCCTGGTGAAGACTGATGAGAAACAAACAAGTCCACTGTTCTCCGGTCGAAGCGTAGATCGCTGCGGAGCAGAGGACGGGAGGAAAGGCGGTGAATTCCTGAATCTTCCTCCTCCACAACTGAGCCTGCTCGTCAACCCGGCAGGTGCGATGATGCCTTTGGTATCTTTTGGGTTCTCTCGTACTTCGGTGGCTTGCCCTAGCGATTCGTGGGACTAGGGACGGGTATCTTGCTTGGTCGCCGGAGTATTCCTCTTGCAAATCAAGACTCCTGGACGCGGCCGGCGTGCGTTGATTTGTAGTTTTTCTGGGAAATCGAGATAGGGAGGTGGGTCCATTGGGGATTTCTGGATGTCTGTTACCCAGGAGCCAGGAGGGGAAAGGTTGAGATTGTTCGGACAGATAGATAGTGGCAAATCTGTTCTGTTACAACGTCTTGGCGATTGGTGGAGTAGGGGAGTGCATTGGGTGTCTAACACTGTTCTTGTTGCGACTGTAACAACTTTGCACTGAATTCCAACGGAGCCACAAATTGACTGAACTTTGTGGTTGCAGTTGCAGTGGCTTTATGCTGAATGCCTGAATTGTTAGATTGGTACTTACCCACAGTTTGTCTAAAAGTAGCTGCGGAGTGCCCACCTTAATAATCTGGGTGGAAATTTCTCTCTTTTTAGGTTTAGTGATGTGTTGAATAAGCTGTAACTGTAAATGATTTTATCTATTCAGCTTTCCTGGTTGAGGTTTATGGGCAATGTTGTTTTCAGTTCCACCTCAATGAGTAGTGGACGATTATCACACTTCGATTCACAATAAGCTAGGAATTTCTTCTTGTACTTAAACCGTTTGAATTTGTTCAGTTTGTGTCAAAAAAAGATAAAACAGTCTCCTTAGAATGAAAACCATACTCCAGTGGATATTTTGGGGAGCCAGCTGTTAGCTAAAATTATGTATTTCGACCTTGCTGTGGAGAGGATTTTAGTTCTATTGTTCTTGCAGGGACTAGTTTATTTTGTTTATTTGGCACTCCCCCTTGGAGTCGATGATAATTGTGATGTATACACAACGTCACTTAGTAGGATGCTCCTTTATTTACATTCCTTTGGTACATGGGAAAATTTCCTTTTTCCCTTCGTTTTTCCAGTGAAAATGAACTGATCCATGCGAAATTTCTGCATTTCAAAAGGCCCTAAGTGTTTCACTCCTGTATATCTTGCCTAGGAATCTCACATCTACTAATTCATCGCAGGCATGGATGGAAAGAACTTCAGCAATAAACAGCAAGCTGAACAAAAGAACCTGGATGCAGTGACAGACAGTGTTCCAAGCCAAGATCAAGAGGCCTTGAATCCGTTTCCAGATTCAGATGATGGAAACACCAGTCCGTTGAATGGCCATGAAGCTGATGTGAACATGGAAGCTGCCATCTCGACCGAGGACGTCATACGAGCTGGTGGGTTCGGAGCGAAGGACAACATTGGTAGCCTCCTCCCGACAGCAATTGATTCTACCGATTTCGAGGCCTCGCTGCGGGACGCCCGCGATTTCGAAGGCGAGAAAGAGGCGCCAGCACATCCTGGACTAGGATGGAAGGGGGAGAAGGCTGATGATGGAAGCAAACCGTCAGATGTGCCGCAACAGTGATCGTGCTTTCTTCTTCTGTAGCCCAGCTCCAGCCTTCAGAAAACCTTCTTTTCTGCCATATGTGTCTGGAGAGCTGCCCTGCGTATGAACTTTTTGTCACAATGTTTTGTGTGTAACATTACATTCTGCTTGCTTCAGTGCTGTATGAACATGAGGATGACGGTTCTATGTTGTCTGTTGTATAGCTCTCAACTCTGTTGGATGTCTGAGGAATGTATAATCCAGCATGGTTTCCTGTCTGTTTTAATCGCCTGCTGATGAGTGGCTACAGAGTTGCAATGTGCGGTTGGTAGGTTCCAAATTCTTGAATAGAAAAAACGTGCAGTTGTCAGTGTCTCAGTGAGCCGACAATACTTGCCCATGTTCGGAGCACCCTCGCGCGTATACCACGTAGCGTCGAACAACAGGTGTGCATGCCTCGGAATTGCTCCTCTGTTATTTTCCCTTGCAATTGGTTACAGGTTCTTGACCACAGTGACCGGCGCCTCAGCACAGAGATCTGCTTAGAGGGCGATCGGAGAGTCGAGACAACGACTGCGCGCAAGATGCAGCAGATCAGTCGTACGGGCGGCGAAGAATGCATCAACGGGCATGCCACCTCCCTTGGTCACGGCCAGACCAACTCTGGGTCATGACTTCATGAGTGGACCGGGCTCAGAAAGATCTCTGGACGGGAGGGGGCGAGGCGACCTTATTTAGCCATTTCTGTTTCCTTTTTCAAAGAAAGAGGGATGAAGTCATGACTAGAGCGTTTGTTTAATTCCGTTGCTTTTGTCAGCTAGCCATAGCGTTTAAGTTTAGAAACGGCTATTCACCCTCTAGTTAGATATCTTGACCCTACATGCTCTCACTCGAGTGTTTTTACACTCACCAGATAAGTCCGGTGGCCACCGAAGAGATTGCGCCAGAGCTTAGGCGCCCCATCCACACTGGCCCAATCGTTTGTTTTCGTTGTGCTAAGGTCACTGAAGAAGTCCTATGCTCCTAGCAGTAGGGGCACTGGAGCTTAGGCTCATAGGTCGACAACAGTGAAGTTTTCAAGTGCAACCTATTCTTCCGGTGCTCAACAGGGGCACTGGAGAAAGGGCTGACACATAGTGGTGATCGGTAGCACGTGGGAGTCTTCAAAATAGGGCAACAGAAACACCGGTGGGGTTCATTGGAAGGTTCCAGTATCTGAAAAACATTTATATCTGCTCTTCGGAATGCAAAACGGTTATCAAAGTGCTACTAGCTTAGAACTAACTTTGCATATGCATTGGACCCAGTGACGTCGTGAGATGCAAGTGAAAATGCTTTTGAAAAGCTAACTTGGTGCCTAAGGTGAAGATGTTAATGTTGGAACATGTTGGAGTTGGCGGATTAGAGACGCTTGCGCAAAATAGTGCCTAGTGCAATTTGTCAGCACACCGCAAAGGTTCCTTGCCCCTGCTGGGGAAGCATGGAAGAAAGCCTAATGCGTAGTAGGGTATTAATTGTGGCTAGGGTTTGTCACCGGAAATCTCTGGTGGTACCCTATAACCTAGCATCAGAAGAAAGGGTTGCACTGTTTACTTGGCAGGGATTTTAAACCGAGCACAATGTCGAGCTAGAGGTCATCTATCGTGAGGGAGTCGGTGCTGGCTGCCTTCACCGAGAAGGGGTTTCTGTCGCTGAAGGAGGTGGCGCATTGGAGGGCTCCTGGGAGGGAGGATTTCCCGCAACCTCGGGCCGGCGAGGTTGTTTCCTTCCTTGCCTTCCATGAGCACGGGTTAGGATACCCCGCACATTGGTTCCTACGTGGGCTCCTTAATGAGTGGGGTCTGGAGCTGCAGCACCTCAATCCGACTGGGGTGCTGCACATCGCCGGATTCGTCACCATGTGCGAGGCCTTCCTCGGGATGGAGCCACACGTGGACCTCTTCCGGCGGTTGTTCTGTAGGCGAGCTTTGTCGGAGGAAAAGCTGCTCATGATTGCGCCGGTGGGGGGCTTCGCGCTGCAGAAGAAACTGAGCGCGTAGGGCTCGTACCCCGTGTACACCCCCTGTGATTCCAATCGGGGGTGGCATGGGGAATGGTTGTACATTAGGAACCCGACGGAGGCGCCGTTCCCACCTTTCACCGGCAGGAGAGCTGGTGGTGGGGCCCCGCCAGCCGGTAGAAGAAGAAGGTGGAGATTATCGAGGTGGAGCTCTAGAAGCTCATGCGGCGCGGCCTTGATGGGGTGCGGGTGTTTCACACCCTCTTCCGCCGTCGGGTCGCTCCGCTGGTGGAGAGGACGCGACCGATGTGGAAGTACAATGGCCCGACGGACCCCGACCGTGCGTCGCCGGAGGAGCTGGTGAACGACGAGGTCTGGAGTCGCGTTGACTAGGTGCTGCTGCTGAGTCCTAAAGAGACCCTCGATGGAAAGCCCGGACCCCTCAATGCCGTGACGGTGTCTAAACTGGTATGCTCCTCTCTCCTTACTCCGTGTTCTTTTCCCCTCTGTTCTCCTATTTTTTGTTTTTGAGTCGCCTGTTTCATAGGGACTTGGAGTTTACAAGTCCCGGCCGCACATTCCGAAGGGGCCGGAGGGCGCGGCGCGGCAAGCCGCCCAGAAGGAGGCGGCGGTTGACAGGAAGAGGAAGAAAGCCGAGGAGGCTCGGCGAAAGCATGAGAAGGAGATGGAGATCGCTCGACGTGTGCAGGCCAGGGAAAATAGGAGCAATGTCGAGTTAGAGCTCGAGTTGGAGGACTCCATAGAGGTGGGTGACGACGTGATCTTCTCCAACGAGGAGGAGGACCGGGAGGCCGTTGTGACTTCGGCGGAGCGTCGTGATCCTACGGCCACGTCTGCTGGTGGCCAGCAGGAGGCAGAGAGGCGCGGCGATGTTCCCATGCCGAGGAAGCGTGCTGCGAGCACGGACGTCGTCAATGAACAGGAGGGGAAGCGAATGCGGTCACCGCGCCCTTCTGAGGCATCGCCGGCCTCGTCCCCGCCTGCTGTGGGTGCGGCGGGACAGGCCAAGCGGTCGGAAGAGCGGGTTTGACCCGCGCATCATTGGGGCCAGCGCCAGCGCACGACCAACAATGGGAGGAAGCCCCGCCAGCTGCTCTGGTCAGCATGCCCTGAGCCAAAGGTCGTGGTGATTCGCGGGCTGAGCAGGAGCCGGTTGGGTCGACTCCCCCCCCAGTTGAAGTGAGGGGGCGTGGGTCATGGCCCAGGAGCGGTCATCGCCCAACGGGCCCATTGACGTTGGATCGGGGCTTCAGAGCCCTGCCGCTTCCGTCCCGGTATGCCTTCTTTGTTTCTTTTTGATCTCGCTGTTGAGTTTTTTTTTGGAGTGTGACTGACCTGTAATTTTTTGACTACGACCGGATGTTGATGGGGCTGAGCATTGCCCCAACTCACATGTGGGAGGATTGGAGGCCCACCTTGCAGCGCGCCATGGCGAGCAGCGGGGAGAGCAGGGTGGCGGTGGGTCCTTCCCTTCCGGGGGCGGCGCCCCTCGGGCCGATCGCCAATACGGCGGCGATGGTGTTGGCGGTGATCCCGGTGGTGATGACGGAGGCCGCATCGAAGGTAACCCTTGTGGCCCCTCCGCCACCGGCTGCGGCGGAAGAGGAGAGGCAGACCGGGCTCCCTGCCTCATCGGGTGGAGGGCCGCATGACTCACCCTCCCGGTCGGAGCTGGAGGTGCCGGGGGGAGATATGGTCGGTTTAGAGCCAGAATGCCTACCAGTGGCCTGTGAAATCGAGGTGGTGGACATCCCCTCTGATGGCGAAGTAGGTGACGAGGTGGAGCTACCGGTGCCGTCATAGGAGCTGGCGGTAGTCCGCTCAGAGGCTGGGCCCTCCAACAGGCTGGAGGAGACCAACCTGGTGTGGCCCTGCCTTGAGGACCCAAGGAAGGTGCGGTTCATCCTCCGGGATAAGTAGGAGTGTCAGCTCTGGGACGTGCTTGGGGGGAGAGGACTTGCGGTGGTGTCCGATCTCGCCTGAACCAGGGTGAAGCTGGAGGAGGCCCTGGAGCGGGTCAAGTCCTTCGAGCGGGTGGTCACGGTTGACCTGCCCTATGCCACAGTGGTGAGTTTTCTATGTTTTTCTTTGACTCCTGGTCTTTCATTGGCTACCTTAGCACGCTTGCTTCTTGTTTTGTAGGGTCTGGATGAGATGTCGAGCCGCAAGTCTTGTTTTCTTCGGATGGAGCACGCCCAGAAGGAGGAGCTCGAGCGCCGGCTGCAGTCTACCCACCATGAGTCCTAGGATCAGGCGGTGGAGGTGACCGAGGTGCGGGCGGCGGAAGTGCTTGCGGTAGAGCGGGCGACTTCCGCTGAGTGGGGGCTCGATGTGGAGAAGGCCCACGAGGTGGCGCTCCAAGGTGCCCTGGAGACCTTGGAGACGGAGCAGAATGCCCTGGAATCATAGCGGAAGGCCCGATCAGAGGCCGACCAGGAAGTGCTCGTGCTTCGGGGTCGGGTGATGGGGACGGAGGAGGCGAACGCCCGGCTATGCGAGCAGGTGACTCAGCAGAAGGAGGGGCTCTCCATCCTTGAGAATACCCACCTTGGTACGTACCTTTTCTGCTTTTCGATGTGTTGGTTTCTTCCTTTAGCTTGCTTTTGAGCTTGCCACCCTTCTTCTAGAGCTGGGTGGAAAGGTGGAGTCGTTGGAGCGGGATCTAGAGACGGCCATGGCGACGATTGGCCGGAATGCAGAGGCGCTGGCCAAGTCCCTTAAAGAGCGACGCGTTCTCAAGGGGGAACTTGACCAGATACGCAATGTTGCCCAGCTCGTCATCTTGGAGGTCTTCGGGTCAGCGCCAAGTACCAGCGCGCTCGCCATCCGACTGGCGGAGGTTCCGGATGAGGTTTGGGCCCTCATCACCGACGGGCTGTTTTACGGGACATCGAGGGTGTTAACTTCGGTGGCAACATACCACCCAGACCTGGACTTCGCCGCCATCTACAGCGGGTATGTCGATGGTTGGAGTGCCGAAGACATCCACTCACTCGGGGAGAGCTTGCTGCCACACGCA